TGACAGGGCAGCAAAACATGGTCTCCGACTGTTGTATGTGTTGCGCAGTCGGGCTTTGTTGGCAGAGATTTTCAAAGCTGTTGGGAGGTGGGCATCAGGGGACCGCCTAAAAGCAGCAAAGAAACATCACGTCGGTAGCGGTAAAAATCCCTTGGTGTGCGCAGACTCAAAACATTGGAAGCACTATGACTGCTTTGCAGGAGTTTTGTACATCGCTATTCCAGTGCTCGTGGTTTCAGAGCACGCTGTTCCAGAATGGGAGAATCAAGCTGCAAATCCAGCGGGCAACTGCGCCAAGCTTGAGGGATGAGGCGCGTACAGCTCAGATGTACAACGGTCAGCTAGATTCCGCGACTGCATTGACATGCTCCTGCAACCATGAGCGTTTTGCAAAATTTCCAAAGAGGGAAGGTGTCGATGGGAAAAGACATGTCTGTGCTAGGCAAGCAGAACTTCCGTGGAGTCCAGATATGACTTTTGTCGGGAGGCTCCCTAGCACAACACGTTTGATGCCTTCAAGAACACTGGCAGCAAAACTCAAAAGTCCTTTCGCGCATGATTTGCAGTCTCCGAACCTTGACATCCATTCCTTGGTTGCGACGACGTCAGAAAGGATTTTACAGCTGTGGGGATGGCCGGTTTGTGATGAACGTTTGCACTTTCGTGGGTTTGTTACTGCTGAAGTAGCCAATAGGATCCGCCAAGCCACAGATGGCCTGGTGGTGGAATTCCTAGGCAACCTACTGCTTTTGTGGCAATGTGCCCTGAACTTTTTCAACAAGTTGCGGATGCAATCTTTGAGTTTCCACGACATGATGAGCCTGCTAAAGGGATAAACTTCTCCTTCTCCTACTGCTTTCCGGAATCTGCGTGGCTAGACTTGAAGAATCTGGTGATCCCGGGGCTCCGCAAGGAGCTACAACCTGAGGTTCTGAATAAGCAGTTCCACAGAGTATGGGTAGCAACTCTTGGCAAGAGAGAGCCTTCATGGCGCAGAGTCCGGATCCTTGGTGACCAGAGTACTTCCCCTCTTTCAGTGCTCTTTCGGATCATGTCGAGGTTTATTGACCTATGCTTGTCTGCACTTCCAGCCAGGTGTCACTGGGATAAAACCACACATGGAGCATTCATCTCAGAGCTGGAGGTCGACGCAGAGGGCAAGAAATCTCCAAACGCCTCATGGAGTCAAAAGACTAAGAGAGCCTGGATTCAAGTTATTCTGGATGATGTGGAGCCAGTGCTGTACGTTGCGTTAAAGTTTATGCAAGTCCTCTATGGCAAAACCAAAGGGAGACAAATCCGAGGGGTAATGATCGGCAGTAACCTGGGATCAGCCCTGTTTCGTATGGTTCTTATTTGCCATGAGACGCACGCTCTACTCCCACGACGTTGGGAGGGCTTCTTGGCAAGGCATTGCCCGTGATGACCTCCGCGTGTACATGGTTGCACCCCTGCACATCCCTTGTCCAGGCTGAGGGAGGCGACTTATGCCTTGCTAAGCTTCGTTTATCCAGCACACATACCTTTCAAGACAGATAACGTCAATCCAACAATTGGAATGGACGTATTCACCAGGGGTGGCAGTTTGCAGTGGATGGCACATGGAAAAGGATTGGCTGACTTCAGCTGCTACGCAGGCGAATTTCCCAGAGTCAGTCATTGCCAAATGTTTGCGCAAATGGCGCCGAACCTCTCGTGCGCACGAAGCCGACAAATTTGCCAAAGCGGTATCCAAGGCTAGAAACAACTGCCCAGTCCATGAAGACATCACGTTCAATCAGTCTCAGCGAGAGAGCATGCTTGTTTTCCGAGTGGGCAGAATTGGCTGGCGAACACTGTGAGCGATAGTCCGGATGGCTTGCTTGAGCAACTGCAGGGCACTGCCTGTGCCGACTCCTACTCTTACCGTAATACCATGGCCACACGAGACAGGGATCTTGACAACGATGACGGACATTACCTCATCGCGAGAATCCAGATAATTTGCAAAGCGGGCATTGGCAGTAAACGCTTCAGCTTCGAAGAAACGAATCACCTCAAGCCCCCGATCAAAGAGTTCCTGCCGCAAAGCAGGCTCCATGGCTGGCAGAAAGAAGCACATCTAAGCACTTACACGGCAAACGCGCAAGACAAGAGCAAAGACAGCACGTCGCTCACACCAGCGACGCCGAGGAAACTCTGCCATAACCGAGAAAATCCGGGCGCAATGATGGGGCATCCCAGAAAAGGAGCAGCACAACGGCCGCTGGTAGCCATCTTTGGTCTGACTGGGCCCGATGAATTCTGCCTGAGGGGTCCTGGGGCACCACCCACTCAAAATCCAAGAGTAGCAAGATCCGCATCATCGGATTCAGCAGAGGATGACGACCCGATGCTTGACGCAGATGTCGAAGAGACGTCGAATCTGGGACTTTTTTCCGTGCGGACCTCGTCTGAGCCGCGCCCGGCTCCAGGAGCTGCGGCCAGGACTTGAAAAATAGGTCTAAGCGTGCTCGGCAACAGCAGCGCGGATAGCGTGGACAGCGCTATGTTTGACACGTTGCTGTGAAGCGAATTTGACCGACTCATCTGTATAGCGGACAGGCACACTGGAAGGCACACGGCTGTTGTTGAAGTCGACGGTGTCAACCCAAAAGCCAAGCACCAAACGGCCCAAGACCGGAATCTTCATGCATTCGGCCGCGCTTGCAACACGCGACGTCAACTGCGCATGGTCGGAAGCTCTTCGGTCCGGGGCCCCCGGGCTGCGGGAGACAGTGTTACCTGACCAACTATTGCAAAACACGCTGCCCAGCTGAGTGCCCATGAAAACAGGAGCAAACCCGGTAGCGTCAGCTAGCAACGTCTGGCACGGCTGCAAAGCTGGCACCAGAAAAGTCCATTGCCGAGAACATAAGCAGTCCCAATGTTGTAAGAAAAGGTCACCAAAGGTCGGTCTCCTGCCAAATGCCAGCTATCGGCATGGCCCAGTTGAACGGCGGTGGACAAAGTCAACCTCGTCTGGATTTTCCTTTGGAGCAGGTCAGCTTCCATGCGAAGTTCATCTTGGACACAGACTTACTTAGCTGAGCATGTTTGAAATGGAGCCCGAACGCCGCAGCCATACCCAAATAACGCAGAACACGGTTCGAAGTTCGGGGACCGCGCAAGTGCCTCAAACACGCATTTCTGCGAGAGACGCCACGCTCACGCTGCAGGGCATGTAGGAAAGCTGCTGCAGGCACTGAGCGTATTTGAAGAAATGCTTGTCGCGGCTGCATCGCAAGGCACCATGACGTCCACCATCGCCAAGATGAAAGAGCATTGCGCATATTTGGCAAGCAGCAAACCTTTCGCCTGCGCTGCCAGTTCTGGAGAAGATGCTTAAAGCTGGTCACCCTTGGAACTGACAAGCAAGCTGTCGAATAGTAAGCCGACCATGTTTGCATCCAGACAACGCGCGCGGGAAAAGACCTGCCGTGCTGGGCGACAACTCTCCACCACTGGCACATCCACAGCTTCACGCAATCTTCCTTCGGCCCGTACATTGGCAACTGGGTGTGGGCACACGTGTGCAGCTGCAGCTGGCAGAGACGCGAGCCGTGCAAATCGCAAGCTCCCTTTGGCTACCGCTGCCGCATCCAGAATACGGTCTGCCTTGGCATGCATCAGAAGCCACGCATCACTGCTAGGCCATATGTGTAGAAATCATCAACATCCATGCCAACGCAAAATCACGTAAGGGGACAATGTTCTCTTGAAGCAAGCGCTGGAGTGGCAAACGTGGGTCGCCAAACTTTGTCCAGAAGCCAGGCAAGCAGGTCAGCGCTGGGATTGTCGGCCGCTTCAGTTGCGCTACAAGTGCGTGAGCGCTGCCTCGGCGAGGAAGCAGCGCGTTCCCCATGGCTCCGAGAGGGCAGATTCAAGCCGATGAGCCCATGGGCTCTTGGGCCCGCGCTCGGAATTTAAGCCCTTACCTACCCTGCCAACCGAAAGGATTCTGACACAAGAACAACTGGATCATCGAGCACAGCAGGATCGAGGATGGCACGACCCAAGCAGACAAGACCATCCCATAAGATGTGCGATGCAATCTCGTTGAACTTCAAAGCGCTTGTAGTTCCCGGAGCCAGTGCACATCCAAGGGCTGCACGAGGTTCCTGGGCCATCCACAATGAAGTGATCAGTGGTGAGGCATTTGGCTTGGCGACACTCTCGCGCAGCATGCGCGAGCGGCAGCTTGCAAGATGGCCAGGCTTCCCCAGATGGCCAAGGGGTGCCAAGAATGGAACCTCGGTGCACAATTCGGGGCACTGAGCGTTGACCTCAGTATTTCCGGAACCTGCAGCCTAACAGTCCACCAGAGCCTGCGAAAGAGCAAAAGCTGCAAGGCTATAGCTGCATACAAATGCTGCAAAGGGGCGATCGAAACCGCCGAGGTCAACAAGGCGAGCGACAAGAGGTCGGCAGTCCAACCCAGATTGTTTGCGTCGCGAGAGGGCAGTGGCCCTCACCCAGCCTCAAGGACAGCAACAACAACCTTTACCAACAGCGGCTTCGTGAACAGGCCAAATTGTTCAGACAGATTTTGCTTGCCGACCGCACAGGTGTCGACGTCATAGTCAAAGTTGCTGTCACCCGCCCACACATTTCGCTCTTCGCTGCCTAGGCTAGCCAGGGCGGGACTTGAGACTGCTAGACCTGCCGCTTCGCACACCTCACTTCCAGGGAAAGCCATAGACAAGTCACCGGAAGAAATGACGCCAGCAACCAAGAAGCTACGGGAAAATAGCAGAACATGAGAACCCCCTCCCTATGAGCCACAGCATCCAATCACACGTCTGCTGGTGTGGCATATACCATGCTCAACAGCAACAAACAACAAACATACAAAATTGTTAGACGCTCATCAGCTGGCACTTGTGACTGCCCGAATGTTGAAGACAACTTGTGCCTTGCTCCCCGCGGAATGAGATTGTCGCTGGAGGCTGACATGCACAGAGTTTTCATGAGCTTTCCACCTCCGACCACCGGTTGGCCCAGGATATCCCTGAGGTCAATCCTCACCTTTGGAAGAAGCCAAGGATGAAAGCAGAGAAAGCAGTAATGACCTGGCCTCCGCTGGGCTGTCCACAATTACAGACATCCTTAGAATGTGCGCAATGCTTTGGTTGCGCGTACAAGAAGGCAAACAATGCTTCTGGTCAGCTATTCATGCCTTCGTGGTTCCTTCATGTTGCTTCACTTGCATACGCTCAAGCACATTTTCCTTTGACATTGACTTTCGTCGGCTTGGATGCCACATCTGCAGACATCTCTGATACCCCGTTGGTGAAAGTACGATCCTACGTCTTGGTTACATGGACACCTTAAATCCCAAGTGCTGTCTTCATGATTCTTGCCTCGAGTTTCTCAAAATCTGGAGAATCTGAACGACTGTCTCTTTCAAGATGCAACCCCTGTTAGCTGAGAGTATGCAAATGGCAACAGATTGCATGGCCGACCTAGGACCTTCACAAGAAACAACAGCTGACGAGTGACGTGATGGTGTTGTAGGGCAGGGCTAGCACCTGTTCTGTGCACTTGACACTTGCAGGGCACGTGGGCACAGCCAGTCTGAGTAGCTAGCCGTTGAGAAGTCTGGTCGTGCATTGCCACTTATGGCCTGGAAGTCCTCGAAGGGGCTACCTGTGCTCACGTGGCCAATGATCTGGAAGAAAGTGCGGTCTAGTGGCAATCCTTGGATGTTGAGACCGCTGGTCAGCAGGCATCCCTGCTTAATTGGCCACCAGCCCCAGTAATCCTGCAGAAGCAAGACGCTTCCTACTGCCTTATCTTCAAATTCTTGCGAGCAGGTCCGTGTCATTCTGATGATAGAGCATGATCTCGATGGACGTAGGCTTCTTCTCCTCCTGCTGCAATTAAAAGATTGGGTGAGTGTAAACAAGTATAGGACGGAACGCCGAAATAATTTGCTGACCATATCATCCACCATGGGCGTACTCCACTCGATCTCAAAGGAGTAGAACCTGATTTGCATACGTCGGTGCTCCCACACAGCCAACCAGTTGATGGAGGCCCTGACCCAAAAGGATCCACCACAGGATCATGGAACAACAGATCGATGCAAATAAAGAAGGGTACCTGCCAGACTTCTGTATGTTACAAACTGATGGAGCCCTCTTCTTAGCCAGCCTCCTGCATGCAGTCCTCGCGGATCATTTTTTCGCGTTTCCGCGGCACCACCTCATTGCACAATGGCCTAGATATGCCCAAATCACAACGCGCAAGCATGCGAAGGTATGTGCAAGTGGAATGCAGGCATAGTCACATCTTCTGGGACCCTCTTTGTAACGGAGCCATCATTCCAGAAAAAGGCCCGCACCTGAGTTTGGATTTAAGGAAAGAAGGCAGCATTCAGAAAAGTTTTCTCCCGGCCGCGCCTCGCTGCCTGGAGATGCGATGATGCCCAAAGCGTGCCTAGCGAAAATCAAATCCTCAAGTGTTCTTCATATGTCAATCACACGTTGTTTACACTTCCTGTACTACATGTCTTCACACTCCAAGAATGAAAACAACACCAATCGAGGAGGGCCTGAGCTCACCTTTCCTATCAGTGCTTCGAATAGTGGAGTGGTTCCATTCTGCTCGGGCCCACACCCGAAGTTGAATGGCCAGCGCTCAGTGCGGATACATGCCTCCCAAGGAGTCCCATGGGATCCGAGGGTCCATAGCTGCTTACAGGCTGCCAAGCGGCAAAGTGGAGGATAAACTTCCAGCGCACAAAGGCCGGAGCAGTGGTCACGTCTGGGAACCAGAAGTCCAGTACATGGTCAACGCGGCTGATGTCCTCATCCCAGTCAGACACGTCCTACTGCGAGAAGGCCTAGACAGAAACTCCCCTAATTCCAATCCGTTCTCTTCCGTCGAGCAGCAGGCTGCTGGGGCGAGTTACGATGAATGTTCCGGTGCCACCAGTACTCTGCGAACATGCCAGCCACGGGCTTCTCAATCTGATGGGCTCGCAGGGCTGAGTGTTGCACCTACATTTTGAGCCTACGGCGCTACGCTGCCTGCAGCTTGTAGATGCCGGCCAAGGTCGGGACGAAGCGGCCCGCGTAGGTGCCTACACTGGAAAACCTTCCCAAAAACCCACCGCCTCACCGCTTTACTGTTTACAGCCTACCAGGTTGGTCGGTGTCGCCGTGGTGATCGTGCCTACCGATTCCTGCATTTTCTTCAGTGCCTTTGAACCTTGTTGCCTTCTTTCGCATTTGCGCATGACAAGCTCCTCGTTACCTTCTCCTCTTGGTAGGTACTTGATGATGAAATGCGGATCCCTGGGTCCGGCAGTCCAAACTCAAAACCTGACATCAAGATATCTGAAGATATCTGATGTAAGATCAGCCACGGCCGAATGGAGGTGGGTGGGGTGATCGGCTGATCGTCAAAGGTGCCTTGGAGGAGCTCGTTGCATCTGTCGCACGCACAACTTGACAACGGACCGAGCAGGAGTGATTTTTGACATGACGAATTGCAGCCACGGAACGTGCCTGGATCAGCACGTTGCGAGCATCTCCGACCAAGGTCCTAAGACATGCAGGAACCTTGTTCCCGTCACACTCCTCTGACCTCTGATCGACTGGACGGGCCCACAGCTCCAGAATGCATGTTGTCTTCTGAAACCAAGGACTCTTGAGGTGAAGGGTGTGAAGTGCACGGTGTGAAGGATGTTTTCCTCCTCCAAAACAAACCTGTGGCTGTCATCGTGAAGGCCTGACAAACTTATCAATCCTCCTCCAGCCGCCCTGGCCTCACTGGCATCATTGATCATCATTTGGACCTCACATTCCTCTTACGTGCCTTTTCGTTCCCCGAACACGGCCCGCACCGCATGAGGTTGACATAAGGCTTGCTCGTACACTGCATAGTGTAGTCGTGGTTTACTAGTGCGTCTTTCTGCTGGGACACAGACAAACATGAATCCCAAATAGAAAAATCAAGAAGGCTTTCGAGAAGCTACAACTACTGTAGCATGGCGCCATGGTGCTCGTGATCGTGCCATTAGTGGCTCGTGTTGCCAATTTTGGTGCCTGCGTTTAGAAGCTTTCTGCTAAACGCAAAGCCATGTCTGACATTGCCCTTCTTCTGCAGCTGAGATGCTTGGCTTGCCACTGCTGACAGTCACCCTGACCTCGATAGCCGGCGCAAGCACTCTTCCTCTTCCTTCACTTCCCAATCCGAGCAGCAGAAAGTATTGATGGCTGTTGCCTGTCGCAGGCTTCAGTTTGACCACACCCATGGACCCATGTTATTCATGCTCCGCCTCCACATGGTCCCAGATGTAGACGCGAGCGGTGCTGAGCACATCCTACAACAAACAGCATCATTAATAGCCGTGGCCATCAAGCCGATGCAAGCCACGAGACCAAAACATCATAGGTCCCGGGCCTTTTCCAAGCCCGGCCCAGACCAAGAATCAACAGCTTCAAATTTGTAAAAAGAACAAATGTGCAGTCATGCACAGGTAACTCAAGTGCAGGCACGGGGTGAAAGCTCACGCTTTTCGATTGCATGTGTTGTGAAGCACTTTTAGGCTCATGGGAAAGCTGTGGGAAAGAAATCCTGTCCTGTCTGTCCAGGATCGGAGCACGGAAGACGTTCTGTGGCATCAGCCAGGCCTTGGAAGAAGCGGCAAAGAAGGCAAAGAGGCAAAGGAAGAGGCGGGAGGCGAACACTTTTTCAAAACTCTCTTGTCGTCTTGCTGTGCTCCTAGCCTGGTCCGTCTCGTGCTGGCGAAGCGTCACGAAGGGAAACAGCGGGCCCTGGAAGCAAACAGAGCAAACTGCAAACTACATGAAGCAAGCTCTACAAAGTTCTCGAAGTGCAGTAACAAACTTGTTTCGCGTCTTTTGATGTGCTAAGAATGTCCTGGTGCCCGATCAGGTACTCAGGCGGGAGCACCAACTCCACGTCAAAGTAACGGTATTCTGAGCACATGGCTTCTAAAGGTATGTGGCATGATGTGGCATCAGAGGGCTAGGCCTGGGTGATAAGCGACATCATCGAAGATTTTGATGGGCAGTTCGATGCGCTCCTTTATCAGATATTGCACATCTTGATTTTTCCTTTTCGCATCGTTTCTCGCCTGGAAGCGCAGCTGCAGAGCGCTGGAGAAGTTCGAGGCCAACGAGCCTGCCACAAATTACTACGTCAGAGAACATTCTCTTTTTGCTCTTTCGGGCTCCTTCCAGGGGCATTACCACAGAGGTGTCCACGCTGAAGGTCAGATTGGCCTTCAGAAAAAGCCTGGATGGACAAAAACAAACTCTAGCATATCCAGCCAGGTCGCTGTAGTCTCCTGGTAGCTAGCAAGCTCGCCTGCCGCAAAAAACAGGTACCAACCAATGCCCCAAACAACGCCCCCAGCATGAACGCATGTGCATGGCTCCAATCCTCCGTAGACAAGGCTGCTGCTCTTGGCGCTGCCGTCCCGCGTGCGCACCAGCACTGTGATGGGCTTCGCGTACTCGGGTCCTCACGTCATGGATGTGGACGTTGGCATGGCTTGGTATGGCTTCGAACTGGGAATCTTGAATTCGACGTAAGGTTGAGCTCAGGAGCGCAGAGCATAAATGCTGCGCTGCACCACCAATGTGACGTTCCCTTGGTCCTCGGCAGAAGGCTTCTGCAAGGATTCTCTTGTTCCAATACGTCCTTGTAGACATGGTAGACGGGCGAGCCTCAGTGAGACTTCTGCACCTAAACTCTTTTGTCAATCTCGCCGGGCCAGCTACTGAACTCGATGGGTCCATCAGACACACAGCGACCTGTGGGATCCTGTGAGGTCCAACACCATCCGCTGATTGTGTGGTGTTGTGTGATGCGCCTCACCAAATGGGACTGGCTCCAGGACAAAAAGCGGGTCGCAATGCGAGCAGCGCAAGACCTGGAAGCGACTTTGCAACAGAACTGGTTAACATCCACTTGCCTCTCAGTGCAAGGCGACTTTGCCATCGGGGCCAGTTGGTTCAGGGCCACAAAGTTGGCCTTCTGCCAGAGATGTGGTCTTAATCCTGCATTAACCGGATCTTAGAAGCCTTGCGATGCCAAGTATTACGAATATTTCTTCAAGTAGAATTCTGTGTGTCTGATGCTTGCGGCTTGGCAGAAGAAGGTTAGAGCCAGTGGCATCTTCAGCCATGTTGAATTGCCAACGAAAATCCTAGTGTATTCCTTGATTCGTCTACTAGCGTCAAGATAGGTACCTAAGCAAACTTGACTCCTCTCTCAGGATTTGATGTTTGCATGTTGTTGGATTTGTACCGAAACTGTCCATCTGTCTGAGACGCCCAGTTGTTACCCCTTCTCTGTTCGTGCCCGACATAATAAATATCTTTACTTCGAGCATGCCCACCCTAAATGCATTTCATACCGGCCTCCAGAAGGCTATGTTGGACACCAGGGCGTAGAGACGAGAATGATACGCTCAAAAACATTCACGGAAGGACTGGGTTTGGGATGACCGGAACATGAGAATGGATCTTAGCACACCCACGGCAAGGTTGGGGGAAAATGCTTCTACTTCCTAGCAAGCTGCATAACGCAGTGACCTGGCTATCAATAATTCTCATAACGCACTGACTACTCACTACTCTGCAGGAGAGCGGCAGTGCGGGAAGACATTTGAACAGCGTTCACAACCTGAACTTTGGCTTGGCTGAACCGAAGCAGGTCAAAGGCGGGTCAAAGATGGGCACAGAGACAGGCATGACATGGCACCAATCTCACTCTTGGGGCCCTTGAAGCAGTCCCAGCCGCGGTCCCCTGTGACGAAAAAGCCGGGTTCGCATCGCAAACACCTCAAGCTCATAAGGAATGAAGTAGACTTCGAGTCTAGCGGCTAGCGCGCACTAGTGGGAATACCAAATTCGAGAGTGCACTGCTGGCCTGCCGTTTTCACACTCCACGCAGCGTGGGTCCACGATGACCTGCTTCGATTCCAAGAAAAACATTGCTGCATTGCTTGAAGTCAAAATTGGCCTATCAACAGGCGCTGAGGGGACAGCCGAGCACTCTGGGACTGTGCACTGTGCTGCATTGGAGGAATTGTATTGGCCTAGGCTGCTGCAGGAATCCGCCCAAATTCGATGGCAAGCCAACTAACCTTCGACTTGGCCGCCCCTTGAATCCTGTTCTCTGATTCACAACTGGTGACGCGCACAGCATTGCAATGCCTGGCCGCACCACATTGCTCTGCCCCGACCCCGAGAGCATTAAAGTTAGTTTTTCGACAGATTCGGTCTGAGCAGCCGTTGAGTGTGGGCTTTGTAAACCGCATGATTCATTCCCAGCTGCACGCCCGTGGTCCTAGACGTGCACCCTCAAGCCAGGCATCTGTAACGACCAGATCAGACAACACTATATCATGCAACCACAATACCACACATCCGAAGTTGTCCTGAAGCGTTGCAGCATGTTACAGTCCAACTTGCCACGTGTTCCGTCTTTAACGTTTGCAGGGATCAGCTAAAGCCGCCTAGCGACGCCAACTCCAGCACAAAACTTTGGTCTCGTGTGACATTCAGTCACGGCATCTGCACATACGCACTTGCGCACACAGTCTGCTGACATCCTCCTGCAATTCCACAAGCACCACACGATAGCTTCGTCCCAGACATGTCCAATCGCTGCCGAGAAACGGTCCCAAAATGACAGGAAGGAGATTCGAGAGTCGGCCTGCCGCAGATCATGCCCTCAGATCTGGCGTGGCGCAATGCAAACAACAATTGTTACTGCATGTACACGAACAGGACGGCATGTGCAAGACGACATGTGCTATGTGTACATTATGTTTACGTGGCTCAAGCTTGGACCACTGTAGAAAGAGGTGATGATGTAAACTCTACAAAGGTAGTATGTACATATTCAATTTTTCAGTCAAGTGCCATATCGGCTCCTTTTCAATTGCAGTGTACTAATAGCGACATTGCAGGTCTTTCTTTCTGTGAGTAGAAGTTAAGAGTTCCTCTCGAGCCATTGGAAAAGATCGTGTTGCCACGTGTTACCGCTGATTAAGTGCCCCACTTGTGTGCAACCCCAGTGTGTGCAGGTGATGAGCCCAATTCAGGACACGCATTGCGCTTCTCCCCAGCCTAGCGGTATGGCAAACGGTCCTACAGGCCCGGAAGGTCCCACAGGCCGGGAAGGTCCGCAGCAAACGGTAAACCCTCAGTGGTACGAGGGCCGTTCCTTTGCCTTTGCCCAATATGAAAGCTGTCGCCGGGATCTTTGACCCAAGACTGCGAGTACCAAAGGCCTGCCTAGTTCCCGCATTCCCTGATGTTTAGGACTACTGCCCCTCAAAGGCGGGCCAGATGCACTTTGAACAGTGCCAGGGTATAGGGCTGAAAGTTTGCGGGTGAAGGTGTGGGGGCTGCGGCATTGGCGGAAGTCCTGGACAAACACGTTCACATGTTAATGTGCTTGAAGGTCGTGACACAGTAAGTCACAGTCCTATGAATTGTAGTGGTACTCCAGGCATGGGTGGTCCTTTGGCGGAGGCCGCCCGTACAGTTCCTGTAGGGCACGTGCTACCTGCCAATCACGGCAACATTGGTGCAGTCAGGTCTGTTGAAGGGGACGCCCAGATCAGGCAGGGCCGCGCAGGTAACGCTTCGTTACCACCTCGTGTTAGTGGTATTCCAGTGGGAGGTAACCCACACTCTCAGGCGCTAGCGGCCGAGAATGTTGCGCAGTTCTCTGGACGTGATGCCAGTGGAAGTTATGGTGTTATGAGCGAGCTTGAAGCGTTGCTCAGCCAACTTCAATATGTGTCAAATGGGCCTGGCCCCCCCCTTCTTGAGATGCTTGCAGGTTTAAATCTTGAGGATGTTGAGTGGATTCCAGTGCTCCGCCGACTTGTGCACTCTATCGGTCCTGAAGCTTATAAGAACCGGGCGCCAAGCCACAACGGTTGCTTTCAAAAAATGGTCCCAGTAGTAGCGCTAATCCAGGCAGCGCTACGCCTCTCAGGACCAGACGGGAAATGGTCAAAGTGGTAATAGCGCAGGCCCAGCAGTTGTTGGAAGAGGGTCGTACCTCAGCATTCCGCCGGTTCTCACCACTAGACGCCAACGTGCCGCCAAGCCCGTCATGGGGATCTGTGGACTCTTCAGGAAGAAGACACCACGGTGATATCAGCCCCGCTATCAGTAATCCAAACCTTAGTAGTCGGGAGACAAGCTCGCGGGAGTACACAATCCGAGGCGCTAGTCTAGCAACCCCAGAGCCAGAGCAAGAACGGTGCTCACTTTCTCAGGAAGAGGAGCCAGACATACAGGCTGAACAAAGCGGAGTTTGCTTCCCTAGAGCAGCCTATTGAAGACTTGAGCACCTTGCTCCAATACTCGACACCTTAGGGGTAAGTAGGGCCGCTGATTTAAGCTGTATATATTTGGAAGACCTTGTGGAAGAGGGAGCGGAGGACTCAGATGCTCTAAGATTATTGCAGGGGTTTGAAACGTCTGGCGCCGTCCGATCGTTTCATCCCAGCTCCCCGAAGCAAGTGGCTCTTCTCTTAACTTGTATGGCCGTTTTGGCGCGATCGGTCCTCGACCAGATCGTAAAAAACGTGCTCAACCTCCACCACATGATTACAGGTGGGATGTTCCTGTTAAGTCTACCACCTTAGAGTGGAGACAGCCCAGACCTTTTCATGAGGTGTGCAGCCGAAGGGAGCCAATGACTACCGGTTCTCCAGTACGGGTGGAAGGTATTCGTACCAATGAATTGGTACACCCATCGATCGGTACGCTGTTGCGCGCTCCTACTTTGTCGCCTCTTATAGCTCATAACGAGGCAAGCAGTAGTAGTACGGGTTAAGGCCCTGCGCTGCCAGCCACGCAAATCCCTCCTCAAGAAAGAGAAGAGTATTTGAAGGCGTGTGAACGCGATCAAGAACTTGAGGATGAGGTACTGGCTTGCGTGTTAGCAACTGAGCCTCCAGAATCAAGAGGACCAGTCAGGGGTGATCAGGTATGGGTTAAATTCCCTAGTTGTGAACTGTTGGCATTGGAGATCAACGACTCTGACCGGTTGTTTAACCTCCTTGAGAAAGCATCGCAACGCTCAGGGACTATTGGTCCTATCGGTGATGTGTATGCCACAGTTGGGGGAAACCCATTGAGCCTTCAATCCCTTTACATGCTCAAAAATGTGCAAGAAGGCAGTTATTTACGCATCCATTACCGTCTTAGAGGCGGAGCCCCTAAACGGGGTAGACCGGGTAGACTGGACTGCTTCAGTTTTGTGGAAGGTAGGTGTAGTTATGGGACGCGACGCCTTTTCTCCCACGCTACCACTAGGGTGTGTTGTACGGTACGTGGTTCTGTGGACCACGTCCCGGAAGAGTGCGTATACTATGGAGGCGGTAGCTATGATCCTCAGCTCGATCCCAACGCGCTCAAAGAAGCAGAACGAGCAGCGGCTCGAAACAGAACCTCTACTCCACCTCTTAAGCCTGCAGAACCGTCACATCATCCACCTAAGTCAATATGGAACAAACACCATCCATGGTCCGATAGGCCCAATAGGCAGTCCGACATCTGGTACGGTTCAGATGATGAGGAGCAGGAAGAATGGTCGAAGAAGGCCTGCCAAGACCCGCAGAGTCCTCCCAAGGCTGTACGGGCCGGCGCAAGGCTTTGTCCAAGGTTAGACGGCAGTGGTAAGCGCCCGGCAACACCGCCTACCAGCTACAAGTCGTAGCGTCCGTCAACCGCCTCCTCAGGACGTACCGTCCCGGAGAAGAGAGCCTAAACGGCGCAAAGAACCTCAGATAGCTTCTACAAAGACCAAGATTGAGGGTACCAGTCAAAAGGCTGAGGTGAAGAAACTGGTCCCAAAAGGATCGGTTAGACGCAGTACGCAGCCAATAATAGGTCCAAAAAAGCGTAAAACTGCCAAGGCGTCGACAGTGTCAACAAGGTCGCGCCAAGCCTCAGTCAAGAAGGCTAGAGGGGTCGCAGAACCGGTTGAACCTCCACCTAGGTATCTCCAGCCTACTCCCAAAGTAAGAGCAACTTCGACCGAAGTCAAAGAAAAGACTTCAAAGAGACCTAGGGAAAGTCGAGCCGGTAATAAGGACCTGTCTTCAGAAGAGGTTGAACCTGCTGAAAGTGAGCATGATCACAGTCCTCTGGAGGAGGAAGCCGATTATGTGGCGAATCCAGAGAAGGTAAGAGCTGAAGCCTCTTCAGAATCCTATGAGTCCGAAGAAGAGGAAAGCCAAGAATCGGATCAAGAGGTCACGGATGAGAAGTTGACCACACAATTCAACCGGTTGAGAGCTTCAGCTAAGCCTAAGGAAGCGCCTCCTGCCGCGTCGGTAAAGAAGGCTGACCATCCACCAAAGGTGGATGAGACGGGTAGTCGACCTGTCAGGTCCCATGGTGATATTAGCCGCCTCAAGGGGATTTTGTTTGCGATCCTACAATTGAGTTCCCCATGTCAAGGTTTGTTGACCTTTGAGGACACGTTGGGGTCTAACCGACTCCCAGGCCATAAGGTTATTATCCATGGAGGCTGTCGCGCAATTGAGCTGAAGATCCTCATGCACAGACAAGGTCATAGACTACACCTAATCCAAAGGGATGAAGAGGTCGAAGATGATCTCCAATTAACCGACTTGTCCGAGAACTTGCGGTTACATGTTCTGGAGGAACAAATTCCAAGGGGTGACCGTGCTCCCCACTTGCAACACACTGTGAATCAAGGCCTGGCGGGCACAACATTAGCAGGTGACCCGAGAGTCCCGTGCTGGTTGTCACCGCACACCCCGCGATTCGTGTCTTGTATTCAGTCAGAAACTCAACACAGTGTTGTAATCCTGTAGAAGGTGTTGATAACATCGTCAATCGCTCTTGGCTGTAGACGATCACCTGGCAGACGTCGTGAAAGTAGCTATAAACTCTTTGGGGGCCGCGCAGTGGGCGATGAGCAATGCCCCGGGTCGCCCCTGCGCTTGGCGCCCTGCCCGGTGCCTAGAGCATAGGCAGGGGGGCCTCGGTGGAGGCGCAAAGTGAAAAAGGAATCCTCCGCAGCGATAGCATCAGCAAATATGAGCCACAGAGAGGGTCCTGAAGATCTCCTTACTGATCTCCGTGGGGCCTTTTAGCAATCAAAGATCTTGTCCGCTTCCAGCATCCATGAAAGCTTTCCTGCATGGAAACTGTGGAGCAGAAAAAGTGAACTCATGCAGAAAACGAATACAATGAACTGTAAGGCTGCGAATATGAACTCCGCAGAGGGTCACGCGCGGGTGTCCTGAACTGGGCTTTTCACAGTAGGCGAACAATACCGTCCTGCCTCCAGCAAGTACATGCCTCAAGCACAGGAAACAGCCGTAGTTTCTCCGCCATCTGAGTACTTAGTAGTCGACGGTCCAGAAACAAACCATGAGGATGGGGTAGTACCTAAAGCAGACCATCATCCAAACTTATGCAGAAGATTGGGATTGTCACACCCGCAGTTGGCGCCACAGCGCCCTCTCCAGCTGTGTTTGCGTGGTGAGAGCTGGTAACACCTCGATGCCCACCGGTTTGAACTTCTCATTCAAACGAAGGATGTTCCCCATGTGGCTTCGCACATCCGGGCTGGCAATCACTGTAAGTGAGAGATGCCACAACCACTTGCGCCCATCTTTAGGAAGACGATATTTCGGACGAAAATCTTGAACC